TTCGTTTGGGCACTTATGGATACTGAAGTACCATAATATCAGTACAACACAAGTTCTAGAACATAACCACATAACGCTCTACTGCGCGTCGGTGGCTCAGGGGTCAAGCATTTCACTTGCAATCTGCAGGTTCTGGGCTCGAATCCCACCATGAACCAATGTGTTTTTCGATTTCCGATTTACATATGTACATTTATCCGACGTTCTTACGGTGAAGGAAAACATCGTGATGCAACCTGCACATATCTGAGAAGAAATTCACAGATATGTGTGAAGTCAATCAACCCGTACTTGGCCAGCGTGGTTGACTATGGCCTAATCACACTTAACTTAGGGTAGGCTCCGAGCCCCTCGGTGGGGACGTATAGTGAGCTGATGATGACGCTCTACTGGTATCGATCTAATATTACGGATAGCACTATTGGTACCAATAGGTCCGAAATAATAATAATAGACCGGTCTGAGTGTCTATCCATTATCCATGTAAGGTATCCATGACAACAATCTCGTAAAACTCAAATGAATAATAACAAACTTTTTCATAATAAAAATCTTTTTAATACAATGTATTAAAAATAATAAATGACACGTTACACTGAGCATAATATTAGTAAGTAAAGTAAAGTAAAGTAAAGTAAAGTAATTATTGAACAAAACTTATTAAATTTCTTTATTCTATAATAGCGCGATTCGTCTAACCCAGTCGTTATATAGCATACCATAAAGTCGTATGTAGGCGCTTTGACGTGAACAAACTTTCGCACCACGCCACGCATGAATGAAACTACGCCTTAAATGAATATTATTTGGTTGACGTATCTCCATATTTAAGAATGCGGAATAATAATAATACTTATATTATTTCAGTGGCGTGTAATGTTGATGATACGTTGCTTTGGGTACATGTCATCATGCCCATAGCGTCACGATCAGGCTTGCTGTTGTGTCGGATCGCTACCATAAACTTTCCCGTCCGGATTCATCACCATATAGTTGTTGTTATGCACGTGTATCTGCTCAGTATCAGGTCTGCGATCTCTGTGTACCATAGCTTCATATTGTCGTCTTAAATATTCATTTTCCTGCTGCAGCCTGTATTCATCATTGTATCCATTATTGTATCCATTATTAGGGTGTCCGAAACCCAGAGAGAGTCCGAAACCGAATTTCTGTTGGACACCTCTCACTGTATTGCCGAGGCCGAAAAGAAGTTCATCCAAATGTCCTCGCGCCGTTGGCACAACTGCCAGTAAGGCAATAACACAGATTATATAAATCGTTTTCATTTTCGTTATTCGTTTGTTTTTTTCCAAAAGCAGTCGATGCGTGGTGGTATCTGGTGGTCGGTCACACGACCACTCTAAGGCAAATAGAACAGCTGGATGTTAAATGATTTGTTTTATATAGAGACAGGCGCCTTATCTTGTACTAAGGTCTATGACCTATTGAATGCAAACATTTTGATATCTATCATAAAAAACCCATGTCACATTGCTTGTTGATTAACCCCAAGACTGCCAAAGCTAACCTGATCTCAATTAAATTTCGTAACTTCTTCAACGTGTAGTTTAGTCTTAAAAATAGGATAGGTTTTATCTTGTAATTGAACTTAATATTTGCAGTAAGTTCAAACCGTGCGTCAATATTTAATAACTCTATCGGATCGTTAATCTAGTGGCACAACTAAATAAGTATGAATGCCGCAGTTAATCTTTGGAGAATGCCAATTTATTTAAGAAATAAGAAAATAAATCAACACGCATTTAATCAGAAAGTCCTTCCAAATAAATGAAGCGTTTGAAAGGAATTTCCTGACTTCCAAAATAATTTGAATACTTTTACCGAGCGGTGTGTTCCGTCGATATCTGTAAATACAAGGGATATTTTCATAGCTTACACCTTGGGTTAGATTTTTATCATACTTATCTATATGTTAATCTTATGTTATAAAAGGGTTAATGAGGAAAAATGTGTTTGTTTGTTTGCATTAAATAGTTTTCGAAACTATTTAGCTGATTTGAAAAATAATTTTATTGTTGGGAACTTACGCTATCACCGGGTGAAATAAGCTACTACTAGATTTTTTATTTCCGCACGTTCGAAGTCACGGGCAACTGCTATTTTTAACTAATGGCGAAAAAACTATTGAATTTGAAGAAAATCTAAAACTCAAAATTAACGTTAATTTTTACATTGATAAAAAAGTACAAAGATCACGCTATTAAACTTTTAAAATGTAACAATAAAACATGGCGCTTATATTTGAATGCTGTTTAAATTTCACAAAGAAAGGATTTATTTTAATTTATTTCAGGCTAACTGTATTCTGCGGTTTTATATGTAGAGAAACTACTAAGTACTAAAACAACAATGCAATGTATTTTAAAAGTATATACTGTTGTGAATTAACTGAAAACACCACGAGTATATTCTATTTTTTAAGTATAATAAAAATAAAATACTAAACTATTTGTTTGTCATGTACCGAAGGTGAGTCTGTAAGTTTTGTATGTTAGGTCAAAACATTTAGAATAGTCCAGCTAGACAGGTGTAATACCACGAATACCCTAAAGACTGGTGGAAGTTATTCTGTTTACCATATGAAGAGTGTCCCTGCTAGAGACCGGAAAAAGATTACAGTTCGCTTCCCCTTCCTGTTCTTTTCTTACAAGGATGGCAAAGGCAGGGACTCATAGCAAGGGGAAAACAATATCTTTCTGTGCGTCTTCTTCTATGTCTAGTTACTAAGTGTTACTATTCAATGGATTACAAAAGTTATTAATTAATATTAGAGAAATGTTCTATTGCATTTTTGCCCTGCTCAATTATATTAGAACTTGATAGCTTACTAGCTGTTATATCGGGAGAGGAGGCCGCGTTTCGCGCTCTATCCAATTTCTTTTATTGTTCTTCATATATCACGATGCGCCGTTCCTACTAAAGCCCGGCAATATACTCTGTGGCTTTGTTGCCTTTGCTCTCATTCGATATTTACTTTATGATCAATTCCCGCTTTTATTTATACGTATTGAACTGTTTTTGTAGCTTTTATATAACATTTTGAACGATTATAAAAAAATAACAATAATAGCCAATTGTTAGTAATTTGTTTTATTACACCAATTTACTAATATCTTTCTTCTTTTCTTATTATAAAAGCGAATGTTTGGATGGATGTTAATTTGAAGGTCTCTCCAAAACGACTGCATGGATCTCGCTGAAATTTGGTATAGTTGTAGAACATAGTCTGGAGGACAATACATTCACTTATTAAGTTTCTACTAATACACTGCGACATAGTCGCGGGCGACAGCTAGTAGTAAATGTTACCAAGATGAAAAACATCTATTGTGGGAATACGCGTTATTGAGAATTTTTGTGAAAATCGTATTTAGTAGCCGTTTATATGAATTAAACATTTGCTATCCAGAAGAATCTCAAAAACATATCAGTATGATTAACAAAATCAAATATATTTTTAAATATTAACGCTAAATATATTTTTTCGTAAATAGCTACATAATCTTTTAAAAAAGGCCAGGACAGTTCTAGTAATATAAATATTTTTTATGTGTTTGATAACCTCAGGTCAATACTTGATAATTGTGGTAAATACAACGGAAATTCCGAGCGATGCAACTCGATGTAATGACGGATCTGTGTTCATAAATAAAAAACGTTTATTTCTATTCATTGAGATGACAGATCAGATAAGTGACCGAGGGTCGGTGGCTCAGCTGCAAAGCACTTAATTGAAGCGGACCATAATCAGAACCAAAGGGACAAGACAAAGTGCTTTCGCTCCGATGCGATTCCTTAACAAATTTCCAAAACTTATAGAACTGACGCGCGACAATCACGTGACAAGTCGAAAGTTAATGTCGGTTCTATACATTTTTTAAGTTCGTTATGCTTCGGAGCGAATGTACTTTGTCTAGCCCTCCTTGTTCAATCCCAGTCAAGTACTAACGTGTTTTTCGTTTTTCATATGTTCTATCCGTTTTTATTAAGGTGGAGGATAGTGTCGTGATGCAACTAGTACATATCGGTAAAGAAGTTCAAAAATATGTGTGACGTCATAACTTTCTGAGCTAACGGTAGATGAAAGCATTGTCAACCGTAACATAGGGTACCCTCTACTATAGTCTAATATGACTTTAATAAGTCTATCAGTCAGCTAAAATAGGGTGTGGAAGTTTGTATGGGAATATGAAAGGGTTATGTGAATGTTTTGTAAGATAAATCTGTTTTATACTAGCTGTCACCCGCGACTCCGTCCGCGTTGATATATCTAAAAACTTAATTAGTGTAGCCCACCCATCCATCTATCCTCATCACATCCATCTAAACATTCGCATTTATAATATTAGTAAGTTAAATTAAAGCAGCTCTTAAAGGTATAAATTCGAAAAAATAAAGATGAATAAATAGTATCCTATGTCCGTCTCCTGACTCGAAGCTGCCTCCTCACCAATTTTCAACCATATCGGTAAAGCCGTTCTTGAATTATAAATAGTGTAACTAACACGACTTTCTTTTATATATATAGATTTTATTTTTTAAGTAAAATATTTAATCTCAGTCATTAAAATGCCACCCGAATACAGAATTTCAAGCACGGCTAATATAAATAATTCATTTCAGAACAAAAATTAAATTTATCTTTTAAACAGTACGATCACATTAAAAGTGTGCATTCCGTATTTCCAGTAACGTTAGTTTGATTAAAAAAATATATGTACATTTCAATTCATTTTATTTATTACAAAAATAAACAAAACACAAATCATTTAACACTTTCCATTAAAAATATAGTTAATTACAAACAAGGAGAAAGAATTATAAAATATGGTATATCTTAAAATCACTCATAATTTAGTTAACACATGTAGTTTATAAATCATTTCATTTTTTTAATTTAACTTTGAACACTTCGCATTTGGTTTCTTTTACTCTTTATTAAATAATAGAGATGCGGGGAGAGTAGTCTACGAATACGGGTTCATGTTATGCCACTTCACAAATTTCGTAGATCTATGCCGGCAGCCGTTCTGTCGGGGTCATAATAGGCTGGTTTCATCACCATATAGTTGTTGTTATGCACGTGTATCTGCTCAGCATCAGGTCTACGATCTCTGTGTACCATAGCTTCATATTGTCGTCTTAAATATTCATTTTCCTGCTGCAGCCGGTATAGATCAGTGTATCCATTATTGTATCCATTGTTGTATCCATTATTAGGGTGTCCGAAACCCAGAGAGAGTCCGAAACCGAATTTCTGTTGGATACCTCTCACTGTATTGCCGATACCAAAAAGAAGTTCATCCAAATGTCCATGCGCCGTTGGCACAACTGCGAGCAAGGCAATTACACTTATTACGTAAATCGTTTTCATTTTCGTTATTCGTTTGTTTTCTTCTTAGAAAACTTAAAGAACTCTTGTTCTGGATAGCGTTCGCTCAATCACTCCTTACTTATGATATATGAACGTGCATATATTCTTTTATATAGGCGCGTTATCTTTTAGTAAATGCGTCTGTTATGATATAAGTCTGTCTGCAAACTTTTTAAACGTATTGCGTTAGTTTTTTTTCATAATAGTCAATTTGAAGATCGATAATTTAGAACTTATTAAATATATATCGTATCTAGATAGAGTAGAGTTCAGACAAGTTATTTCTACACTATCTAATTTTAAAATATCAAGTTAAGGTAGGTTTAAATGAACTATCGTTTAAATGCCATATCAACGTTATCAAGGGACAGCGAGCCTAATGTAATCTTTCTTATTTATATTATTTTATATATTACGTCATTACACTAATTATTTTGTGTACTCGTCTGTACAGTCGAATCTGACAGTCGACAGACGACATCCATAAGCGAGTAACTCTGGTTAGACAGAAACCTCTACAAGCATAAAAATATCGCAGTCCCATGACCTCTCGCTTGACTAGCTTCCGACTGAATAATTACTTTTAAAAATATCGTTTTTAACATGTACTGCTATGATTTATAAGGAATTAAAGGCGATATTAAAAAGACATTTTTAAAACAAAAAAATTTATTACGATTTTAATTTTTTTTTTTTTGGTAAATGCAAAAAATACCCAGACAAACAACCAAAATAATTTTTTCGCTTCATTATTATCGCTTCTATATTTATATTTTAGTTCAATTAACTTATAAGTAGAAGCGGAATTATTTGTAATTAATACAATTATGACGAATAAATTATTAAAATAAAAATGTAACAAAAGCGCCTATATCGCTCACAAGGATCTTATACGTTTATATTTTTTCACAGAATTTAATTTGAAGAAAAAGAATAGATTTAAAAAATGTATAGTTGAAAAATGTAGATATCTCGATTTTTTAATTTAAAAAAAATATTGCCTGATTTCTAATTGTGTATCTACAAAAATTAAGTACAAAAAAAACAGAACAATTTAAATTCTGTGGAAAAATGTAACAATTAAAAATTATTAATAAAACAATAAAGTCTTATAATATTTACATTAAATTTTATTAGTAACTGGCAGTTAATAGAAGGCACGTAGATTGATTCAGTTTCTTTTTATTATATCTATATTAAATATAAGATAATATAATAAATAATTAAAGTATTTGTGTACCAAAACTTATCAGATTTAATAAATTAGAATCGACCGTAATATTTCCATTTAATTTTGCATTTATTTCAGCTTAATGCATAGTTTTTTTTAAAACCCACAAGAAAAATATTCCAAATAGACTATTGTAAATTTCTCTAAATATATGAACTATTCAGAAATTTATTTACATATTATGTTTAACTAAAATATTTAGAGTAATTTTTTTTCAATTGTATACATTTGTGCAAAATGTGCTTTATTGTTATTTCACTAATTTAAATTACGAAATACATATATAATATTTTAAAAATACATTTAAACCGTAGACAGATATGTTATTTTTAATTGACTAATTTAAGAAATTATTGCTTTTTTGATTAAAAAAAAATTACTAACGCGCTTTGAAATAATATGAAATTTTGAAATATACAGGATGTCAGGGAATGACGTATACAACAGAGTTCTTAGAGCCCCCTAGCGGCTAAACGAAGCAACTTTGGATAGTGAAAAGTTGCGTTTATTCGTCATATTTTCGACCGAGGAATGGCACTCCATTGTACACGTGGTTCCCGACATCCCATATAAGTATCCCTGAATTGTTAAAAAAATAATATCATTATTTTTAAATATTTAGGAGGACAATTTTCAAATATTTTTAATATTTATAATTGTAATAAATACTGCATACATTTCGGCCAGTATTCAATAATATTAAAATAGTGCAATATTGCCATTTTATAAAAATAGACTTATAACGCATTCCTATAGATCACATTTTCTAACTACACACGTCACAAGTTTATGTTTTTTCTTTTTTTTTCTTTCTTGTTTACTATAATCTCTTATCGTGAACATTACATTATATATTTCATTGAAGTGACTAGTAAATAATCTAAACGATATAAAAACATGTGATTTCAACTATCCATCGAAGTCTTATTAAGTTTTTTGAACAAAAAACATCTAAGGCTCAGCGGAAAAAATAATCATTTTTTTTACAATATTTCATGAGGCTTTAAGTGTGCGACTGTACATTGTATTTACAATTGGCAGATAATTGCGGAGCTAATTATTGCAAATCTAGTTAAAATCTAGTTTTCATTTTATTAAAATATCTAGAAACATAGCTGGGAGACAAAGTATCTAAAATATTAAAAGATGTAAGTTGTCCTATTATTTACGTATACGATGTGTACAACTACATAGTAAGGATTTTTTGGATTATCTACTTTGTCTGCCATCTATGTGAGGTGTTAACACCATTACAACTGCAGTGACATCACCAGCGGAATTACCTAAATGACTATACTTGAAACTATACACATATAGACGAAAGCAAGTATTGATAATTGACATTATTTTGACAAATTCTACAGCCTTTGTTGTCAGAAAGAAACAGGCCAGACAAGATATTTTAAATAAAAGTAAATTAAAACTTAAATACGAGGACTTTTTTATGATTAGCGTGTTGTCAGTACCTTCCGCTAGAAGAGTCTTGGCTGGTGACGTCACTGGCTGCGTCAGTCGACGAACTGGACGAGCTGGAGTCAGCCGTGTCGGCGGTGTCTGCGGTGTCCGCAGTGTCCGCAGTGTCCGCAGTGTCCGCGGTGTCTATGGTGTCGTGTGTGCGGGCGGTGCCGGGCGTGTCGCTCGCCACGCCCAGGTCGGTGGTCGGATATCAAAGATGTTCGTCGCGACCGTTCAGCGGCTGCCGCTCCGCGTGGTCCGAGGGACGGTTGCGCTTGAAGAAGCCGCACTGAAATTTAATCGTTTTCTTTATTTTAAGATCGGCTTATATCGCCTTGTTGCATCGCGCACTTGTATTAAGAAAAAGTTGAAAGGTATTCGCTGTCCTCATACCTCCTACTTTGTGGCAACGCTTCCTTTCCAATGGTTTCGAATGTTACTTGGTATAAAAATCCTTTATCACAAACGTTAAAATATGCCTTTTGTAATACCTTGTAGAGTACATAGATGAGCAGCAGCAGCAGCAGCGCACCGAGCACGGCGGCCAGCACGACCAGCCAGAGCGGCACGCCGCCGCCCGCCGGCGCTTCCAGTTGCGGCGACAGCGAGGCGCGCGCCTCCGCCGTGTGCCACGCCCCCACGTTGCCCACGCGCCCGCCTCCCAGCTGCGACACGCGCGCCGCGCCCAGCGTCGACAGAACCACCGTGCGCTCCGCAGACATCTGCGCATGCGCACTCATATAATATAGCCTCATTTATCATGTCACCAGCCATGTACTCATCATGTATTGTTTTTCTTACCTCACTCAAGACGGAGGCGTTGACCCTGGACCTCAAGGCTACCCAGACCTCCTGCCCCTTCGCCAGCCGGCCGGTGCGACACCGCACCACCTCGCACTTGTACTTCTCCTCGCACTTCTGTAGTATCTCCTTCAATTCCAGATCCACCTGAAATGTTATATTGTGATATTTGTCTCGTTCATCGGTGGAAATGAACATTACGAGTCTCCATGTCTATTTGGCAATTTCAACTTTTCTTTACCTGATCCTGTCGACGGCGTCTGGTGCTCTCGCGGCGCTGCGACTGCGCCCCGAAACTGCCTCCCGACTGAGAGCTGTAACTGCTTTGGCCACCTAAATATAAAAGAAAGCTAATCATATTCTGCTAAAACAGGACTAGAACAGTGCAGAATTTATAAAACTTATTCCGGGTAACTTGTGACAGACGGCACTGCTTATAAATACCTGTTTGCGAAGAATATGAGTAGCTGCTGCCGCCGCTGGTGGCGTAAGCGCCTCCTCCCTGATAACTGCCTCCTTGGTATCCTCCTGCGCCTTGGTATCCGGAATTCTGAGCATTCCCGTAGCTCGACTGGTGACCAGAGTTAGAAAAACCACCGGAGCCGCTTTGGGCACTTCCTGAAGCTTGCTTTCCTTGACTTCCAGAAACATCAGCGATACCGAATCTGAATTCGTTGTTAGGGTTGCTCGCGGCGTACGCTCCGAAGCCGCCTATTTCGTCTTCGTCCTCATCGCCCACGACGGTGACGCTGGACTGCCCTCGGAACTTGCTGGAGCCGGCTTTGAAGAGGTCAGGATTAACGGTCTCCGTCGTGGACCACGAGCCGTGAACGAAGCTTTGCCCGGATCCTCGGTTTTGGTTGCCCGCTTGACTGTTCACGTACCTGAAAAGCAAGTAAAATTAACTATCATTATGTTTTTTAGAATCACTGAAACACACGTTGGAAAATTAAAGCAAAGTTACTTACGTATTAAAAGAACTGCCAGCTTCACCATCGTGCCCCAAGGATCCATACTCTGTACTCGTTTCAGTCTGAGATATAATATTATGATTTTGATCGTAAACTATCGTCTTGTTTCTAACTCGCACCACTTGTCCGTCCTGGCCATACACACCGCCGCTCTCGACCGCTCCTTGACCCTGACCTCCTTGCACGAAGCCATGCACCGCGTAGCCATTGCCGTAGCCGCTTTGTTGGTTACCTTCGAAGCCACCTTGCTGTTGGACTTGACCTCCTTGGACGTAGGACCCTTGACCCTGTCCATAGTTTATTCTACCCCCTTGGCCGTACGAACTTTGACCCTCGACGCTGCCACCTTGACTGTAGCTTCCCTCGGTGAATTTCCTTTCAACGGACCCTTGGTAGTTGGGATTGGTAGACGCCGCCAGCAAAGCTTTCCTTATTTGTTCCTGTTGTTCCGCCGTCAAGTCCTCCCCGAAGTCGTTGCCGCTGGTCCATGTCTTGTTGTAGAAGTAGGTGCCTCCATTGTTGCCCGCGGCGCCGGCACTGAACTGCCTGCCACCTTGTCCGCTTCCGTACTGCGTGCCGGACGTCTGTCCACCACCATAGCCGCCGCTGGCGACGTGTCTGTTACC